GAGCAGCCCTACCCTGAGGTGGGGGGGTGGGGAATGGGATGCAGACCTCTGTCCCTACCTGCCCTCCCTCCCCTCCTCATCGTTCTTGATGGGCAATTTGTTAGTTACCTATAACTGTAAATGTAACTGCACTGGCAGGGAGGTCAGCAGCTGTTTGAGGAGGTAAGGTGACAGGGAGAAGGGTTGTGTGTTATGTGGTTAAGGATCTGGGTTCACATTTCGGTCATACACTAGAATTGGGGAGGGTCCTTGTGGATGGCAGTTTCCCATCTGTAAAATGGGGGCAATGCTCCCCTCCTGCTCAGAGCCGTTGGAAGAAAAAGGTCAAAGCCTAGGATGATGCAAACACAGGGAACAGAAACACAGAAACAGGGAGGGACTTGTTCAAAATCATACTGGAAATACGTGGCAGAGCTGGCAATAGAGTCTGGCTACCCTGACTCCTAAGACTTGTGCTTTAACCAGAAAATCACAAGTGAAGGATCCTGCAACGTTTTCCAATGAGAAGCTAGGGAAATAGCAGGCAATTGTTAAGAGTGGGACTGGTTAAGTATAAATCATAAAGGCAGCATCCCTCATTGTTAAGGACCACAGACTAATAAAAAGGTTGTATTGGAATCTCATGCCTGTGACCCCCTGCACTGAAACTTTCATTTGTGCCAAAGCCCTGAGTTCTCAAGCTGCTGTAATAACTAATATTTACTGTCCATTAAATAGGTCCTTGCATAAAATAACTTAAAATTGCACTTGAAACTTACACAGAAACAGCTCTGAATATCTTGCATATAGATACTTAGAGATTATCTACAAGTTCAGGGCTGTCTTTCAGTATGAACTAGAAATGTTGCTTGAAAGACAAATAATTAACTCTGGAAAAGCAGCTTGCTGACTTTCTCTTTTTTTTTAAAGTTCAGAAGAAAGTAGTTGTATGGGAAGAGGAATGAAGCTAAGTCTCACACAGATCAAAGAATAGAAATCTGTCATGTCAGGCTGGAAATAACACTAAGCTAATTCATGTGACAGATACTTTACATTTCTTTGTACTGCATTTCTTTCAGCAATATTATTTTGACAGTATTCCAATTAACTGGAAGTTTTAGGGACTGGATATTTTCTTTTATAGAAGCAAAGAAGTGAAAGAATAATAAAGCTCCACTAGTATTTATCTGTTTAGATTCTAGGTACTCCGGGAATTTAGAGAGGAAAAATGTAGCTTTGTTTTCTATTTCCTTTTGTAACTATAACATCTAGATCAGAATTACTCATACTTTTCCTGTTTTGAAAGAAACATTCCTTTTGAAATCTTGGCGTTTTTTTCCCTACGCATTTAATTATGAGACTGTATCTTTATGTTGTGTAGAGAAAAGTTATAAATCTACAAAGCATCAGTGCTGTAAATTTTACTCTTGCTTTATTTATAATACTTGAGGTGAGGAAAGTGGAACTGAGTCTGAGTTGGCAATGATAAGGCAGTCCAGTACAATGGTTTTTAAGTCCATTGTAGCATGTTTGTAATGTGGAAAGGGGATTATTCATCTCTGGAATATGTTGTTGCAATTTAAAAAATCCCATATAGGTGCTTTTTATATTATAAGTTTTAGTATGATTTCCTTATTAGTAAGAAACAGTAACTCAGACGGTATAGTTGCCAATCTGGTAGGTGTTAATATCACATTGGCATTTCCAGCTACATTTTTAAAATAAAATCAGTAATAGTCATTTTGTTAAAATTTCTCTGAAATTTGAGAACTACATCGATGAGTTGGAGTATCTCTAAACAAAGAGGTGGAAGACAGTTGCTTTTGCAAAATGTTTCATTGTTGTAATGTACTGTCATTGTATTCTATTACAGTATGCTGTAGATGGATATTCATAGGTTGTCTCCCAAACAGAGAGAGATAAAAGGGAGCAGAAAAGGCTTTTTAAATTGTGTTATCATGGAGTGCCCCTAGTCAGGATTCAGGGTCCTTTATGCAAGCCACAGTAAAAGTGCAAACACAGAGGCATTCCTTTCCTTTAAGAGTTTGCAGTCTATGCATAAAAGTGTTATTAGTGTGGTTATGTGACTGAGTACGGTCTTTCTGTGGGTTTTTCTTTGGTTTTGTTTCCTATAACTGCGTTGTGCCCATAAAACCTTTGTTCAGAGACAGTTATATTGCTATAAAAGTGCTAATACAAATGTAATCACTTTTATGCTAATATGGTTGCCTCTATACCAGAAGCATTTGTGTTGGTTTCACCATACTAGTCCAGGTTAAATCATAAAACTTTTAAATGTAACTGAGAGGCATGCAGGATAGAAGGGAAGCAGTGACAGAAGTGAAGTAACTTGCTTAGGTGGCAGAAGGGTGACTGATCAAGGTAAAGAATCCAGTCCTCCTTTCTCCTAACCTGACATGCCCTGGTTTACACTGCCTCTCTGATTTGCTACCCTTAGTCTATTATATATTTCTTAGGGGTCAGTAGAAGAAAGGATTACAAACTTTGGCCCCTTAAACAACATTGTCAGGGAACTTGTTCATTGGTCAGGTGCTGTAATTTAGTTTTATTTTGAACAGATAAATATTCACATGAGGTGTTTGCAATACCAATATTTCAGTCTTGTACCTGTTCCTGAAAAACTGAAAATGAACTTGATTTAAAACAAAAGACAAACAAGAACTAGCCCAGACTGCTATCCAGTCATGAGAAATGCAGAATGAAAAGCAGGCAGCATCAAAAATGAAATGAATATCAAGCTGAAAATGAATATGAAGCTAAAATATCTGTAGCCCATGGTGGCTTTTCTAAATCAACTAAACACATGTGTGAGTTATTAAGATCTATATATTAAAGAAGGTAAAAAATTCAGATTTTCACAAAAGGAGATGACATTTAAATGTCAATATCCATTAGTATTCCAACCCATTGTGGTTTTGGTTTTGGGGTTTTTTTGCTAACTCCAATTTTAACTGCTGGTATTCCTGTTTAAATGTAAACCATACAATGATATTGACAGTGCTTTTAAGCCTTGTATACCTGGAAAAGTGAGACCAATATAAGCTAAGGTATGAGTTTTTAAACCAATATAATTATACTGATTTAACTTCCTGTTTTGACACTTTTATTCAAGAATAAGAATACCTTTTTCAGTTTAGCTGATGCTGCTTTCGGAGGGGTTTGAGTTAAACAAACAACCCACTCATGCAGTTGAATGTGTGTTTACATAACATAACTATTATCTGTACTGCACTAACATAAGTAATAAAATATTTCTGTGTCCTAAAAAGAGGGTGGATCTGTTTATTTTTGGGTGGCTGGGGCAGGACAAATTTAATGTCTGCTTCTTAATAGAGCTCCCAGAACTATTTGACTTGATGTTACCTTCTATTATTTGTCTTTTTTTCCCCTTTGATAAAAACAGAACGTTGGCAAAGCTCTGCAGAAAGGATGTCGCTACTTAATGATTGGTCTACAAGGATTAGCAAACGCCTATACAGCTCCATTTGGAGTGGCAACGTCAGTGTCCTCACTGGTCCGTTAGAGTGGCTTCCTTGTCTCCAGAAGAAGGATAAAATGAACCTTCTTAGAGGAGTAACTTGATTTGTTCCTTCCTTGCATCAGATCAACTGCTGAAACCTACATCTGAGAAATCTTTTCAATGCAATAAAAACAATAATGTGACAGAGTATTCTAATGGATCGATTGCACTTCTACAGTGCCTTTCATGCAATCATCTCAGGCAGTTCTCAGCCATTAAAATCAAATTAACTCAAAGAAGGTGAAAGGATGAGGAAATAGCTTCAAATGAATTGAGCCAAAGTTCATAATTATAGTTTAATTAATTCAACTACATGTGCAGAGAAGCCAAAGAGAAGGAAAAGCCAAAGAGAAGGAAAAGCAAGTAGAAGATGGAGGGAGGTATGTGTAGACATGCAGTGAGAAGACAGGAGAGGATCAGATAGCGATTTGGTGCTGGCTGAAAGAAGGAGAAATGAAGGGAAATAGAGGTAACAGAGATGTCAAGAAAAGGTGGCGTTTGATTTGCTTATTCCTTCTTCATATTTTTCTTTGGTGATGGCCAAATAATCAGTGCATTGTTTTTAAATAAATGCTTTTTGTATACCATATGTAGAGCCAGTCTCAAAAAATCATTAGATTTTAAGAAAATAGTATAGAAGGTTTTGTTTGTTTTCTACCTGTTTTCTTTTTATAAAGATTCACTGTAGGCACAGACAGAAGTGACAATTTTCACTCCATCTGGCCACTGAAAACACTCTACAGCAGTGATCAAACACAAGTGCATAGCTGCCGAACACTTTAAAAGTGCCTGATCCTACAACGATCTGAACCCTCACTGCATTACTAAGGGTGCTTCAAAATGGAGCACCCTGAGTAACTTCTGTCTGAACTTATCGAGGGCTGCTCCCAGGGCTATCTTCAGAAGAGGTGGAGGGGAAGGGAGTGGAGGGAGTTCAGTCTGGGGTTCTTTCAGCTGGTGCTGGGAGGGTAGTGGGGTGGATTGGAGATAGGGGGGCTCCAATTTACCCACCCCACCCTCCAGCGCCAGCTGAAAAAGCCCCAGACTGAACTGCCTTGCTCTCTTCTACATTTCCCTTATGAAGACAGAGCCGGAGCTGGGAGGGGGAAAGGGTGGGGCTAGGCAAGAGCAGCTGAATCCTCCAACCCCAAGGACCCAACAGTGAATGTCTGTTGGGCCTGGGGGATTGCTATAACTCATAGCGCTTTCTGCAAAGTGGTATGAGTTGCTGCAGGGAGCTGCACTTCTGTCTGCACCTTGTAGTTATGTGTTCAGGTATTTTTCCTGCCATTGTGAAAGTTATCTGCCTTATGCAAGCTGAGAATATCATGTTATTGCTTGACTTGAGTAGCTGTGGCTTTAACAATAACAACTATTATAAGACTTTCTGGAGAAATCTCCACTTTATTATTTGGAGTCATGTTTTTGTGCCAGGCTTAAATGATTTTTCTGACAGAACCTCTCTTTATTTTAGATCTTCTCATTCCTATGGTATGTAATTAATATAGAAAATGGCTTCTTTTTTCTTTTGTTCTGAAAACATGTTGTTTTTCTTCCCTCTGCCTTTGTTTTTTTAAAATTTTTGAATGAGCTGGAATTGCTTCATTCCTAATGAGCCAGATTGTATCTCTTTTAACCATAGTAAAAAAACAAACAAACCAAAGATGTATTTCTATTCTCTTTTAACTGAACTGTAAATAAAAATGAAATGGTTCATTTGTCTTGTGAAATATATATAATATTTTTAGGCATGCAAACAAAAGGAAGTATTTTCTCTGTGGAATGTGTAGGGTGTGAGCAGTTATACTTCAAGCACCACACATGACTCTGCTAACACGCCTCAACCCTGAGCTGAATGGGCCAGCTCTGGAGTTGTATCTACTTGGGGACTCTCAGGAAAGTTAAGGCCAGGGTTAAGGCACAGAGATATAAGATCAACTTAGTTTATGAAGTGACAGCATCTACATAGGGGTTTAATGCAGTTTCAGTTATGTGCACTGACTTGCATGCCTGTTTGTTCTGGACCCAGAGGGACAGACTTTCATCTTCAGCTCCCTCTGTGTAAAAATGAAGTTTATTTCCTACCTATGGGGACTTTTTACCATCTTGTACCATCTACACTTTTCCCAGAGCCTGACAAAGGACTTTGATCCTGAAAGCTTGCAAAAAAGGACAATTTTCTTGCCATTTTCCAGTTGGTCTAAGAAAAGGTATCATTTTGGAACCAAGAGTTCTAGTTGTTTGTATGTCTTTTTGTCTCAGATCGACACGGCTACCAAGTACATCCCTGTTTGTTCTCTTGACCTTTCTTGAATTCCTGATGTAGACGGGTCCTAGGGATGGGAAATGGCAGTTAAGTCCCCAGGGCTGTCCAGACTGTAGTGGCAGTTTGAGATTTTGCACCCAGCCTGACAGGTAGATGTCATGTGAACTCATGTCCACTTAGAGCTGCACTGGGACCCACAAAACATGCTTCACACAATTAATCTGAACATACCATACTAATATGGCAGTGCTATGTTTGCATCTGCCTGAGGTGCCATACCTCAGTTTTAAGTAGGAGCACTGATGTTGAAAATAGAGACATAGGCAGGACAGCTAATAGGAATGAGAAATGAAGTACTAAAGCAGTGGTTTTCAACCTTTTTAGACTTGAGGTACCTCTCATTAGACCCCTTGGAAAATGCCAGCTCTTAGTTTTCACTCTTTTTCTGACTGTAGCAAAATAATAGTACAATTCTTCTGTTGCAAAGAACTCAGAAGGACTGCAACAGGTCAGAATGTTTTTAACACTAAGAATTCCTGTGTGAAAATCCTGGGTTTATCTTGTCAGTCATGTTTGCACACCTAACATGACTCACAGTGCTAACATTATGTGGTACCCCAAGGCACCCTTGAAAGGATCTTGTGGCACTCGAGTTGCTAGGCACTGCACTAAAGGTTTTCTGAGTGGGGGAAGGGATGGTAAATGACATGTGTCTTAGTTTTTATTTCATGTGTGTATTACATATACAGTGGGCACATTTACACAAGATGCTGTGACATAGTAACAAGGAGCTACAGTGCCATAGCTTGTTGCTACTGCACAGTCATGTTGCCGGGCAGTAACCATGCAGCGACACTACTGCACAGTAGTAACAAGCTACTGCACAGTAATTTGGTGCTACTGTGCAGTAGTGTCAGGGAAAAAAACGTGGCCATGGTACTGTGCAGGAATGCCAGTTACTATGCAGACATTTAGCACTGCACAGTAACAACTGCACAGTCCGCCACATATGTAGACATGGGCAGTAAGCAGTTCTTATAATTCTAACTATACTGACTGTTCATTCATGGATAAACTACAGAGTACAGACTGTTTATCACAGGGACTTTCCACAAAGGTAAATATGAACTTTAGTTTGCAAACTATTAAGCACGATGGTAATTGAAAGGTGAGCACTGATTCTTGTCTACTGAAGGCTAGCTTCTATGTAACTAGTGCAGCTAGTTGTATAGAATAGACTCCTTATGATACATTTTCAAATGGATCAAGATTTTAGAAGTGGGCTTGGAAAGAAAAAAGGCTGAGGCTTATTGGCAAAAGAGACTTATGCTAAACTGTGTTTCTAAAATGGACCAAAAGCAAACAGAAAAGGAAGGGTAAGGGAGAGGCAGATAAACAAACAACTGATACCACTGCCATTAAGTTGTCAGTGATTCATGTTAAGAATGTTTTTCTCTGAAATCAACTCACTCAGGTTTGCTATTTTTGCCAATTTTTTGTCACCTATCAAAGATTTCTTATCAATAACTTTTTCTTTTTTTCTTTTTTTTCACTTTGATGCTCATGAATTCAGGCCTCATTCTAAAGCATCTGGAACCACTACTGATTGCATTTTATGTCACTCTTTGTGCTATGTTACACCAGCATGCCTACAGCACGTGGTGAAATTAAGTGAGGTGGAGCCTAATTTTAGTTACTACAAAGTGCACCTGGCCCCAGTGGTTGTCAATAGGAGGTGTAGTCACTGAAACAAGAGGTAACATTGCTTTGGTCTTGGTTTTGATAATTTTGGAGGACATTGTAGGAGAAAATAATGCCTGTAGGAAATAATCTTGAGTCAAGTGATCACGTGCTTACTAATTTTAACAATGGAAAAAATAAAAATAAGTTTGGAACTAAAGGTTTTGATATTGAAAAGTCAATTTTGAGAGATTAGGGGAACTAGCTAGTGTAGTAGCTGTAATGAAGAGTGTAAGAACTTGAGTGTGGAACTGATTTGGAACAACTTTAATTTTCAAGTTGCAAATGCTTATTTGCAACTTTTTATCCTAAAGGAATGGGGGGAAAACTTACACAGAAGGGCTCCAGACCAAACAAGTTGAATAACACCTCCAAAAGGTATTGGATGGAAACCTATGAGGAATAGGAAAAGGGATTGATCAGGAAAGAAAACTGTCTAGAGGTCAAGAAGTGTGGGGGTGAAGTGACATACATCAAAAGTTAATTCAACTTTGCAAAGGTGGTTTAAATGAACAGTAAAAGCTTTTAGTCAATAAAAAGAGAACAAGAAAAGTGTGGCCACTATGCAGTTAGTATAGATTAGAGATTGAAGATCTGAATATAACCCATAACTAAATGAATACCTCATTTTTAGTAAGGGCAGTGATGTTGAACATGAGTATATAGGGTAGGATGGCTAATAGGAATGAGGGTATGGAAATGAAATTACTGCAGCTGAGTTAGAAGCAAAACACAGGGCTTAATGTCCTCAGAGCAAAGGAACTAGATATTCTCTATCCCAGAATTCTGAAAGGATAATGTGAAGTCACAGGTCTGGTAACAAGGATTTTTATTAAATCTCTCGAGTTAGGAATGGTACTGTGTGACTGGAAAACAGCAAATGTAAAACTTAGATTGAGGAAATGAGAAAGAGAGAGAGAGCTATCCAGACAACTACAGATCTGCTGGTCAGACATACTTTAGAACAAACTTTGAAGAAAAGAAAAATTAAAGATATGAAGAATGGGATAAAATGGAATGAGGGCTTACCAAAGGTAGATGATGCCAGACTGACCTGATACTTTTCTTTGAGGACATATATGGATTTCTACTTAAGAGAAATGTGAAAGAGAAGGGGTTGTCAGTCAAGGGAAATTTTAACCATATGATGAGGTGCTATTTGGGAATTATTTGTAACATTAGGGCTGAGCAGTGAAACTGTAAAAACAAAAGTAAGGAGCTGGCTAAAAGGGAGATGACAGGGGTTGTGCAGAAGGCTGGAGAGGTTACTAATGGAGTTCTTCAATGATCAGTTTTAGAATCAATCTTATTTTCATTAATTACCTTTGCAGAAAATGTAGAAGTATGCTAATAAAATCTGATGGCCAAATTTGGAGGCATTGTCTAGGAGCTTTGGAATATGATACAGGAAGAACTGGGTGACCTTGAG